GACAAAGAGAGTGGACCGAAGGTGAGGGGTCAAAAAAAAAAAGCGGAGTAACTCGTATAGATTACCGGCGTTAAGCGTCTGATAAATTCGATGTCGGGCCTCTCTTTGGAATTTTTCTCGCGTAAAAGAACACCCTGAAATTCCGCGAGGGACGTTCACGGCTTTATTCCCTCGCCAAGGATTTGCGAGACGCTGCCGCATGCAAGACGTCTCGTCTATACGCGCGGGCAAGTTCGAGCAATTTATAATCCGTCTCTCGTTGCTATTGAGACACGGAGACAAAAGATACGAATGAGCTGTGTGATTGAACCCGAGGTAGAAATGTTCGGGTTACAAGTTTGAATCGAGTTAATGTTCATCTATTTGATTGAAGACTGCTTGATTATATTGCTCGGATATTAAAGGAAGTTTAAATAAAATAATATATACGCTGAGAAAAAAAATTGATTGTACGAACTAAATTTGTATAGTTGTTTGATCCAATAGTTAATTCAACAATTCTTTAGTTGCACAAAGAAAGATATAGTTTATTCATGTCAACTATCGAAATTTTTTAATTAAGAATTAACTACACCAACTCAATTAAATTATTTTGTTCGAAATCCTAGTAGTATTTATTTATGTTTACATGCTCTTTAGTTATCCAAGTAATATATTTGTTTAAATTTCAAGTATCGAACTGACTAAACAATGCTGATGGGGATAATAAATAGTGTGTATTTTTAAAAGAACGGTTGAGTTGAATATGATAAATTTTTGTTGAAACAAAATAGTTTAGTTAAAAAATAATATTTTGTTTATAATAGTAACAAATTATTTTGTGTCATCGTAGTAACGTTTAGTCGAACGTATCGGACTAAATATTTTGGTAAAATGAAACAAATTTTGCGTTTTTCAACAAATCTTTTTTCTCAGTGTATGCACGCACTGATTCAGATTTAGGGTATTTTTAACTCGTGTACAAAAGAAAGTGGCGATGAATGACGATTTGATGACAGAAGCAATTTGCTAGATTTCTTTCGGAATTCGAGTCAAGAACGGGAGCCGGGTGACTGATTAAGAATGCCTGGCAAGGTGTCCGTCGGCCCATAAAGACTACAACGAGTGGCGGAAAATTAATCTCGCA